GTGACGTAATTCGTACTTTAAACATCGGCGAGATAACGGAATTGGACGATTAAACGATCTGAGAAGATAAGAGCGAATAAGGTTAATTAATGTCATCTAAAAATGAGACCTGAATATATCGTAGATGAAACTATTCGTTACACTTTCTTGAATTTCAAAAGGAACATTTTCTTCTTCTACTTCATTTTCTTCTTTTTAAGATTTTCTTACAAGATGCGAGATCGTACCATGCAAGTTAAATTAATTGTTGCTAAAGGGAGATCAGGAACGTGCTGCATCCGCTTTCTTTGTCGGACATGAAAATACTTCAAAGGTCCATGTGCCGACGGTACTTAATGAATAGAACGTTTCTACTCTTTTACGAGACTTATTTATAATAAATATTATTTTATTGTGGAAAGTAAAGTTAAGAGAATATTTTGTACTGATTATAATTAACGAAAAGATACACGAAATGTATATGAATTATTTTAACTTAGGTGTGTCCTGATTTTTCGTGTCGGAAAGTTACGCTTTTATAGAAATATTTTTCATGGAAAATAAAAAAGATACAATATTGAAATTTAACTATCATATTTGTCGATCTTTCAAAATAATAAATATCAATATTTAAAAATAAAATATTTATAATTGTAGAAATTACATAGTTTTCAAAGTCGTGCAGCAAAACGTCTAGGAGTTTGTGGTACCCGCAAATTTCATATCTTGTAAATGTCAAAAAAATTCAAGAAAATAGAAAATATTTAATTATCGTTAACTCAAAGATTCTTTTTTCACTTTATGTTTATTGTTTCAACTCTACGAAAAAAACAAAATCAAATATTTGTCGATTCATTGTGAATAGTTTAAACGACGCAATAGTTGATAAAAAACGAAATGACCCCTCGTTAAAGTTAATCGATCAATAATTTTTAACGTTATCGCGTACATTAGCTCGAAAAAACAAATTGAAGAAAACGCGTACAAACATTTAAGTAGAAAATGAATCGCTCGTATACATAACTTCTACGATATTTTAAATATTGAAATAACTTCATCCAAAACACGCGACAAAGAAAAAAGAAATAAAGAAAATTAGCAAGCAATGAAAAGTCAATGTTGTATACCGAATAAATTGGAAAACCTTTTTTCAATATTATAAGTTAGCAATACTTTTCCTTTCGTTATTTATTAATACAATTGCATTATCTAAGTAAGTGTTACCAGAACTTGAATAATTTATTTCTTTTTCACTTTATACCTAACGCATACATTTTGAGAGTTGCATGTCAATGATACATTTCGATCGGTTTTACCGTGGTATCTTTGTCTTTTAATTTTTTTTTTCATTATCTTTTTTGTATTTTTGTTCGTACCTCCTGCGTTTCATCCCTTATCGGTGTTATCTCAGTCGGCACACGATCGTCCAAGTGTACAATCGTGCCAAAAGCTCGGGGATCATCGTACTGCTTTCTCAGGGTTGTTGCTTTTTTGTTTTTTATTTTTTTTTTCGTTCACGAACATTGTCGCCAGTAGTCGTCGCCGTCGTCGTCGTCAGCGTCGTCGTCGTCGTTTCCTAACCATCGGCAATCGTGGAGTCACCGTTTCCTACTACTACAACAACGACCAAGAGATATCGTTCGTGTCTCGTGATCCGATAGCACTCACGAAGCGAGTGAGTCTCTCTCTTTCTCCTCGCGGATAAGAATAACGCGACGGCAAAAACGAGCATACGAGTAAGCGCATATTCTAATGCTGGCGAACACTTAGAACACTTAAATACAGGTTGTCCCAAAAGTCTCTTTTGACGAATTTTAAAATCAAACTGAATGCAATTATTATATTTTTAACGAGTATCTTAAACGACTGTCTTACAAACCAATAATTTTTTAACGAAGCTAACCGATAACTCCTATCTGCGAGGGTGGGTTAAAAAGTTTTATATATATGTTTGTTTTTTACAAATTTCTTTCTACACTAGTATATTAAAACTCTTTGACTCAAACTTTTGGGACTCCCTGTAAATTTAGATGAGTTACATATGAATGCGTATGTGTGAACGACATACAAAGGTCGTGTGGATCGTCACCGAGAATCTAGCGGATCGTAACACGTAAATCGAGAATAGGCGGTACGTTGCGTTGAAAACGTTTGCACCTGTTTATCTTCGTTATATCTTTATATGGTAAACGTTTTTTTTTTTTCAAATATATTTTTCCACGTATATATATATGGATATGTATATGCATATGTATAATTATGTTACGAGAGACTATTCCAATTATTATTATAGCGTTCGTAGTATGCAGTTTTTCTAAAGAGTTGCTTGCTCTGTGTGAACGTTCTTTTTATCTACAAACAGATTTTACTACACAGCTAATATCATAAATTATTTCGAATATTATACGTTTTGTTTTTAGCGTTGAATTTTTATTGTCCCATTCGGTTTCATTTTATACTAAATATAACATCGATGATTTTAATTAAATATTGTCACGTAATCATTGTAATTTATAGAATAGATATCGATCTAAATGATAATTTATAAAAATGACAAAAATCTAATGGTAGATAAGTAGATAAAAAATATTTGCACCATAAGAAAAGAAATGATTTTGGTGTATCAAAATATATATTAAAATACTCTGAAGATTAAACGAAAACAATAATATATCTCATTCGCGAAAAACTATATTAATTCTTCACAAAAAGAGAACGCGTGATTAAAAATATGAAAAAAAGTCGGGACTTATCGTGAAAGAAATCCTTGAATCGTTAGAAAGAATTTTCGATCTTGTTCGATATATTATAGCGGGAGTATTAAAAAGAAGAAGAAGAAAAAAAAGAAAATGGTAGAAGAATAAAAGGACGAAGAGGACGAAGAAGAATAATAAGAATAAGAATGAGAATAAGAAGAGGTAAAGGATGAAAAGAGGAAAGAAGCGAAGAATCTGGAAGTATGTTCTTGCGATGGTATCGTTGTTCGTAGGTTCTGCGGTTAGGTCGGTAGCGCCATGCTGGCATTCGGATTGGTCGATCTTATATGGTTTGTGGGTGTGGTTATAATACGTGGTGGGAGTTAAAAGGAAATGATTGGCTAGGGAGTATAATGGGCGGTAACCGAGTGGACACTCTCTCTCTCTTTTTCTCTCCTTGTTCCTCTCTTTCTCTCACCTGAGTTACCACTACAGAAGAAGAAGTTGGTTGGGATGTGTGGCACGGTCTCGTACGGTACGGCCGGCAGGCCTCGGCAGTACACGAGCCGCTTCTTCGAAGCGAGCACCGCATCGTGTTTTCGCGCCTCGGCCTTTGAAGCACCCTCCGACCACGACGACCACGACGACCACGACGATGACGACCACGACGACGACGAATTAACTCGACTTGCTATCTCGAGAAAAGTCACCCCCGTTACACACGATCGCGTCAATTTGCACGCGATTACGACTACCACCACCACCACCACCTGCTTCTTCTCGATACATACGCATACATACATATACATATACATATATATACATTGACATATTATCACATACGTGTGTGCGTGCGTCCCCGTGCGTGCGTGCATGCGTGCGGGTTTGCTTGCATACATACACGTGGATACTGTATATACATAAATATTTATACACGCGTTTATGCATTAATATTTCCCCTTTTTTTTCTTTCTTTTTTTTTTTTTCTTTCATCTTTTCCTTTCGATACATATTCTTTTATCGGACTGTTTTCGAAATAGTCGGGCTAGTGTTATGCAAGCGTTGTGTATGAGCCGAGAGAGGAAAAAGGAAGAAAAGGAAGAGGAGGAGGAAGAGGAGGAGGAGGAGGAGGAGGAGGAAGAGGAAGAGAAAGAACCTGGATCGGAGAGATTGTTTTTTACGTCGAGTCACGTGATTTTCGAGGAACTTCGCGAAAAGATTGACAAGTGTGTCGCATTGTTGTACGAGGGTTGTGAATAACGTTTATCTAAGGGATGTTACGTGAATTCAACGATTTGGTGTTGTTACGTTTATAAATCTTTCGCGATGTGTGATCTTATATTGGATCTACGGCAGGAACTACGACGTGGAAAAGTTTTTATTTGATTTGCGACATCCTGAAAGGGAGAGAAGAAAAAATTGATTTTGCAAAAAAAGAGAAACCCCATCATTGATTGCATAGTGGACGCGTGATCGGTCGAACGTTATACGATGTCGAGACAAAAGTCAGGATGATTTTTGGCGGTAATCGCGGGAGGTGGGGGGAGTGCAACGCGAGTTTTTTATTAATATTGTATCATCGGAGCTCGAACTTTCTTACCGTGGATAGGGATCGTGGGTGGTTCGTCTATTCTGCAAAGTGAACACACACACATTTTCTCATTAATAGAATAATTAAAAAGATCAGTATAAGATAAAGAAAGAGAGAAGGAGAGAGAAAAGCTATAGCTTGAGCGTAGAAAGCAAGTAGCAAATAAGGTAGACAAGAGAGGGTGCATCATCAACGGGTAGTAAAACGGCAGCTGCTGGGGAAGGAACGATCATGCTCGACGAGTTTCGTCGAGGATGACGTAGCGTCGAGCGGAAGCAAGGGGCGTTACGGTTTGCACGGTGTACGCGCTGGATAGAACCGCCTCGGCGGGGTTAGGGGTGGTCGGGGGTGGCGGTGGAGTCAGCAGCAGCAGTAGCAGCAATAGCAACAGCAGCGGTGGAGGAGGGGCAGGAGGAGGAGGAGGAGGAGGAGGCGGAGGTGGAGGAGGAGGAGGAGGAGGGTGCGGGAGTGGTGTAGGTGTCGTAGGTGTTGCGGGTGCGGGTGCGGGTGCGGGTGTGGGTGTCGGTGTCACGGCACCAAACTTGATAAACGTTTGTGGACCACCCGGAACATCCCTTGCACCGCCGACGGATTACACGACGGCTGCAGCTGCGGCTGCAGCAGCGGCAGCGGCGGCGGCAGCGGCTGCAGCGGCGGCATGTTATCCCACGGGATCAACGCTCCCACTTTCTACCTCCCAACAACACCCTATATCTCATGTCGTTGATACCACGATGACGCCAACGTCAGCACCTGTGCCGACCCCGACCTCGGCCTCGGGTCCTAACAATCCTGTTGCCATGAGTCAACTCGGGACTGTCTATGCTACTAAAAGAAGACGAAGAAACGGCAAAAGGTTTGTATATTGTACCAATCATCCAAATCTGTTAGGAACTTGTTCTTATTTTTTCTAACCCATCATCTTTTTCTTTATTTGACGCATTAAGTTAAGTAATCGCAATCGCGTTACCAAAGAAGAAGATGTGTTAGACGAGTTGAAAGAACAAATGATTATCTTTGTAAATTATACTGCTGATCGGTCGCTAAACATAAATCATCGTGATTTATATTCCGATTAGATAGCAGGTTCTCCGGTAAATATAAATGTCATTCTTATCGAGATCTATCTAGTACCCAACCTTCGTCTTACTTTACCAATTTTGAAATATAGATTTCTTTTTTCAATGAACTTTAAACAAACGATCTAGTAAGGACGTATAACGCAGTCGTGTCAATGAAACCGAGAATGATACTGGCGACTCACGTGCAGTTTAATCGTTCGAAGGGACGATAGCACCCGAGTATCGTGATCGTCTGCATAAATCATGCGTGACTTCGAAGGTGTTAATGGAAGAGAGGCTCGAACTGCTCGCGCGTAGATAGGTAATTGTATCCATTTAGAGACGTTTCTAAAGACATTAGACAGTCGTTAATCGAGACGACCAACGTGTGTTGGATATTTACGTGGATTTCCTTTTTTTAAGGATAACTACCAATTATTCATTTTTGATGTCATTTAAAATCAATCGACGAATATTTTCTTCCTTTGTAAATATAATAATTAATTATTAACCTCTTGCGACACTTTTATTTGCAATATAATACCAATAATTATATTTATTTATAAATAACTCTGTTATATAAATTAAGTCAAAAATGAACAAAACTCGTTTGAAATTGGTTGACATTTATGTTAGAACATTTTTACAAAATCCGTTGATATACATATTCTAAATGTCTACTCTTACGTGATTATTTTTTTATGTTAATTTTATTATTTTATTTGACTCGAATATATATATCGCAGAAACTTACACGCGAGATTTTCTCGTATGAGAAATTCGAATTATCTTTGGCAATCGAGTAAAATCCTTTAATCCTTTAAGAACGATATCTCCCACCGTCATCTTTCTCGTCAGTATCTTATTTTCCTTTTATATTTATTGTTATCATATCCGTGTACTCGATCGTGCAAACACGTGCTTCTTGGTTGGCCGCTAGAACGAAAGCACGTGCTTTATAAATCGAAGGAATTACACGTACACCCTCGTGCGTATCGAACGAAAGAAGATACGTTCGTGTACTGGGTACTAAACGTAAGCCGACGGCAACATAATGCGCGCTTGATTACGAACGAATGTGAAATTAAATGTTCCAATAAATTTTCCAAGACTTTTCTCCAACTTACATCATTTTGTCTTTTTAATGACCAACTACGGAGTCGTCCTATTGGAAGATAACAGAAAAATATTTCGATTTAATTTTTCTTTTTTATTAACTATTTAAATATATTTTCTTAATCAAAAGTCAAAGTAACTCGATATTAGATTGTAATATTTAAATGAATGATACGCGTGACATTAAAGCGTTAAAAATCATTCTAATTTAGTTATCAGATTAAAATTAACATATCCGCGCAGAGGTAAAATATACCGAGAATGTTTTTTTCGTTGTTGTTGAAATTTTGCTACGTCAAGGGATCGTTCACCGGAATAGTTATCTCCTTCGAGAAGGGGGTATCTTGTCGAGGATACATTCGTAAGGAGACCTAGCTCGTGATCTCTCAAGGATCACGAAAGAACGTAATGGAGTTTTAAACGGTGCTTGAAGGTGTAGGTGCAGAGGCAACAGGCAACAGGCAACAGGAACGTCGATTCGCTTTCTCTCTCTCTCTCTCTTTCTCTCTTCCTCGTCTCTTTTACTTCGGCTTTCGTTTGATACGCTAAAGAAGAAAGGGAAAGAAGAGTCAGACGTATTCCCTCGAATGGGGGAATGCCTCGAGGCTTTCTACATGCCTGATTCATCTTTTGCTTCCTTGGCTCCTTCGGTTTCCATCGAGGCGTCGATCTACGAAGAACAGAGTTCTTCCCTCGGGCCATAGGGATTTCGATCGAAACCGTTTGCCCTTTCGAAAAAAAAGGGAGAATAGTGATTTTCCCGTCAACGTGCAAACGCAATATTTGATTTTTAAACGAAGAATAAACGTTCCCATGTAAAATATATTGCAAAATACGAGAAACAAAGAGGTTAATTGAAATGAATCGGAGAGACAGATATAAGAGGAGATCGAAGATAATTAATAAGATAAAGATTTATTTCGAATGACAATGTAGGAGGAAGATTTATCTTTAACGATCGAGCGAGGGTTATCTGTTGTAACGAGGGCAACTTGGAGTTTCCCTCAAATTTTCGATGGTTCGAGGAAGAAGTTGGCTTGCGATGCACGCCGACTCTTCCCGTGGCCTAATGACAGCAGCTTCTATAATTTGGAGTTTTTGAACGAACGGCTAAATTACCGGCGAACCAAGGGATTACTGTTATTACACGCGGCCGCGGACTCAGTCGAAAGCTGATTATACTTTAGTCAGTCTCTCTTGATCTTGACTCGTTCGACTGTCAGCTTCACTCTCGTTCGCCCTTCTCGATCCTACAAGAGACGACGGCTCGAGAAACGACGGGCCCTTAACTTTAATTCCTCTTTCTGTGATCGTCCAAACGATTCGTTAATCTCTCTTGCAAATACTATTTTATTTCTTTTTTAAACGCACTCTTTGTTAACGCAAACACGAGCGTCAAGTTACCATCATAAACACGTTCAACATATTTACGAGGGAAAATTCATCGTCGTCTCCTCTCTAATATTACTTTTTTTTTAAATATTATTGAATATTATATCAAAAAATAATATTCTTGTTAATTTTCGAAGCGTTGCAACAACTCGAAGCTGAAATTTATCAATCGTCGAATGGAATTTCAAACCATTAGGAGAAAAGCACTTAAACTCGAAACTGCAACGAGCATAGCCCCCGATCATTCTCTCATCCATAGACGCGGAGCAGAGCCACCACGTTTTGGTTGATTAGTTCTTAAGTAATTGCCGTGCATCCTTATGACCTTATAACGTGGGTTTATAGCCTTGTAATGAACCTGCTTCCAAAGACGTTTGCCTCGGTTAAACCAAACTTGCTGCTGCTGCTGTTATACGCTACGGATATTTTCGTTGGCCGTGTACCTAACCGATTTTTGAAAAAAATCATTCGGTGTCCCTGGTCGTTGTCAATAACGTTACGTAAAATCATCCTACGTGCATCTCGGTTTTTGTCATTATTTTATTTTCTTTCTTATTTCGAAGGGAGGGGAGACAATATTGCCAGTCATGTAGATATAATTACGTTCGATCGATGCCTCTGTTTCTTTTATTATAATTTTACTTTTTTACCTCATTGTTTATTTTTGCATATCCTTTCTTTTCTTTTTCATTACTCGTTCGATACAGCTCGCAATAAAAAAAGAAGAAGAAGAAGTAGAAATAAAAATGTGTCGCAGGAAGGTAGGAAGGAAAGAAGAAGAGAAGAATTTCATTGGGTATTAATCGAGGATATAATTTACCTACTCCTTTCCAGGTTGGAACGTTGCACAGCCTGTAATTTAATAGACTCACCTTACGTTAGTCAGAGCCCAAGATGCGTTTTGCCCCGTGTAACGCGTATAGCCGATTCGCGACAAGACCATTACTCGCGGAAGAGTCATAACTCCCGTAACCCGCCGTTCCAAACAGATTTAACACCTCGTATCCAATTATGATTGGTGCTCCATTATGGTTATACCTGCGAGTACCTTGCTTCCGAAATGAAGATTCCCTGGTATGCATGCCAACAAACGTAAAATGTAATATGTTTCTTATAATACTTGGAATCCGTGCAAAAATAACTGAATTCATTTCGATCCCTTTCTTTCGATATACACGAATCATATTTTTCTCTTCAATCTTCCAAATAATAAGAATAATTCTCGGTGTGTAATTGGAATAAAAATAAGAGTTGCGTACTTGTTTTCTTTTTTCCCCTGAATAAAAAGAACAAAAAAAAACAAATAAATGTGTTTGATCGTAGTTAAGATAGGGACGTGTCTATTAAAGGGACAATCGGTAGTACGTTGGTGTAGGAAAGTGCAAAAACGATTCGAGCCGAACGGTTGTGCGTTCAATCTTTCGGCGTTCCAGGAGTGCTGAATGGGCCGCACAGCAAGAAATATCCGTCCTCGTGGTTACGGCACCGTGAATAGAGCCATAACGAAGTGAAATGTGCAGGTGAATTTATGCTCCAGGAACGGACGCTGTTAGGCACTCGTTTCTTCAACGCGGGACCAATAGTTACCTATCGAAGGATCCTTTCAAGCGAAGCAAAGTAGAGAGGACGACAAACGAGTTTCCTTCTCTTACAATTTCTATTTGCATAAACGAAATATGCAAATATTCTTCAGATTAATTCATAAGAAATATTAATGTCTCGTTGATCAACGAGGTAATTGGAACCTTCAATTATATTAGAAAATCATACAATCTTTCCCAAATTTTTCTTTTTTTTTTCAAACGAAATTCTTATTACAATTTATAAGTTGAAAGTTAGAAAAAGAGAGAGATTAAAATTAGTCGAAATCCTTTGGTTACTAACGCTGCTGAAATAGTCTTAGAAAACGTTTGAAATTTCATTCGGAAAGAGGCGGCCCTGTGTGTCGGTTGGCAACGATGTATCTCATCCGGATTTGGGCCCAGACTCGAGCCAACCTGGACCGGTACGGCGCTGTGTGTTTAACTATTCAATAATTCATCCCGCCATTCATCACCAACGAAGTGTAAAATTTATCTTATTTTTATGTATTGGCCCCCTCCAGTTTGCCCCCACCATGAATCAAACTCTTATTAGTCTCGATTTGTTTGCTGAGCGCGGGCGAGATCTCTCTTTCTCTCTCTTTTTATTCGTATCTCTTCTTTCGAATAGTTTTATATTTTTATCTCTCTTTTTTAAAATCTTCTTCTTTTTTTTTTTTTTTCAGTCAAAATTAACAGACCAAAAT